CTTCTGTCATGAGTGGAAGCAGCCTGAAGCCCTCACCAGAAGCAGATGTTGGCACCATGCTTCTCACACAGCCTGCAGAACTGAGAGTCAAATACAACTCCTTTCTTTATAAGTTATTCAACCTTGGGTATTCCTTTATAGCAACACTAAATGGACGAAGACAATAAAAAAGAGACTACAAATATAAAAACAATACCTAGAAATGATAGTGGTGGGAGAAAGGGGATGAGGGGACAAGAGAGAAGCAATAATTCTATGTGTACCTTTCAATATAGTTTTTACCAGCATGTATATGCATTAAATATTCAAAAAGAAAACTTTTTTTGGAAAGAGAATCTCACTCTGTCGCCCAGACTGGAGTGCAGTGGCGCAATCTCAGCTCATTGCAACCTCCGCCTCCCGGGATCAAGCGGTTCTCCTGCCTCGGCCTCTAAGTAGCTGGGATTACAGGCGCCCGCCACGATGCCCAGCTAGTTTTTGTATTTTTAGTACAGACGAGGTTTCACCATGTTGGCCAGTCTGTCTCAAACTCCTAGCCTCAAGTGATCTTCTTACCTCGGCCTCCCAAAGTGTTGGGATTACAGGCATGAGCCACTGCAGCCAACAAGAAAACTATATTTAATGGGAAAAAAAAGTTCTTAAATGTATTGGGGACCCAATAAGCACAAGTCCTGCTGGCCTCTCGTACTGAGTCTGCACCTTCACATGCACAAGGAGATACAAGCCTGCCTGTCTGCAGATCCACCCGTAGATCCATTCAGTATGTAGCTCCTGTTGTGTGCCATACCCAGATCAGTTCCTGAGAATATAGGATGCCTGCCCTGTTGGGCTCACAGACTATTCTGAGGGAGATGGATAAACAGCAAATTTTAACTCCATGAAAAAAAAAATAGTAATAATAAGTGCATAGCATCATGGAGACACAAAGTAGCGCCTAACCTATCCTGGGAGAGACAGGAAGACATCCTGGAAGAGAAGACATCTGAACGAGTCTGTCAGTAGGAGTAAAGCAAGTGAATAGGGAAAATCAGATTTTGTAACATGTGAAAATTACATGAAATTCCAATTTGGGTGTCCATGAACACAGCCATACCCACTTCATTTGTGTGCGGTCCATGGTTGCTTTTGTGCTGCCATGGGAGAGGTGAGTCATTGTAACAGAGACTGTACAGCTGTGAAGCTTAAAATCTTTTTTTATCCGGCCCATTACAGAAAAAATGTGCTGATCCCTGCTAACCTCTGTAAATTAAGGTAGATCCTCTCAGCCCCATTTCTCAGATAAGGAAGTCAGGTTTGTCCAAGACTACAGAGCTGGGGAAAGCTGGAGCAGGGATTGGAATTGGAGCCCAGGCAGGCTGCACTTCTAGTACCAGTTACTTTCTGCCACATCATACACATCTCAGAACTAACACACTCTGTTTATACACATACTCACACCCTCAGTTTGTAGGGCCAGGAGTACAGGGGCAGACTGGGTGGTGTATAGTCCCCAGGGAAGAGTATGGGCAAAGGGCTCTAGATCTCACCTTCCAGAAAATCCAGAAGCCATTGAGCCAGCCGAGGAGAACCTCACACATAAGGATGGTCAGCACAATGTCATCTATGGTAGAGAAGAACTCATAGTGTTTCTACATGGAAGACAGAGAAAAAAGAGGGGCAGAGAGGTCAGTGGAGCAGGGCCTGGGCAAGCCGGCAGGGAGAGGATGTATGTAGGGGAGGGAAGGCCCGTATCACTACTGCTCTTGGTCCTCAGCATCTTTGTCACTTCCTTTAAAACATACTTTGCGTGTGCGTGCCAGGCACTGTGCTGGGACTATCACATATCACTTCATGTTACCATGACTGTTGTCCTGCAAAGTAGGTTTTATTCCCATCTTACAGAAGTGGAATCAGAGTGGTGCCTGTGTGTGCACAGCTAGTTGATAAAGATGGTTGTCTGACTACGGACTTTTGTCCCTAACTTCTAGAATAGGGATATTTTGGAGAGGGAAGTAGGAGAGGCAGAACAGCCTCCAGGATTGGGAGGAAAAGACCTGGCCCCTGAGGGTAGAGAACACCAAGCTCCATCTGTCCTAACCTCTCCTGCTATTCCAGCTCTCCAAATACTCCAAGTTAGGCCTAACCAAACTCCTGGGTATCCTGCCACTCATGGGTCCAGGACGTGCACCCTGGATGGATGAATGGGTAGATGGGTGACTGGGGTCTGCCCAGAGCCCAATTCACTTTCTCTCAATCTCGAAACTCCTCCTTCAGCTTCCTTATGGCTGCAACCCCACTAACAGCCCCCATAGTGCCCGACTCCACCTAGCAGTCCCAAGTCACCATGTCTCCTCTCTTTCTTTTCTTTCTTTCTTTTTTTTTTTTTTTGGTGACATCTCAGCTCACTGCAAACTCCGCCTCCTGGGTTCAAGTGATTCTCCTGCCTCAGCCTCTCAAGTAGCTGGGATTATAGGCACCCACTGCAACGCCCAGCTAAGTTTTGTATTTTTAATAGAGACGGGGTTTCACCGTGTTGGCCAGGCTGGCTGGTCTTGAACTCCTGACCTCAGATGATCCACCCACTTCAGCCTGCCAAAGTGTTGGGATTACAGGTGTGAAGCACTGCGCCTGGCTCAAAAAAAGTTTTTAATTAGCCAGGCGTGGTATCTCGTGCCTGTAGTCCTAGCTACTTGCAAGGCTGAGGGAGGAGGATCACTTGAGTCCAGGAGTTCAAGGCTGCATTGAGCCAAGATGGTGCCACTGCACACCAGCCTGGGTGACAGAGTGAGATCTTGTCTCTAAAAAAAAAAAAAAAAGAAAAGAAATTAAAACATCAAGGATAAGTCACGCTGAACTTCAAGTTGGACACAGAGAAGTCTCTCATATGCTGTTTTTCCCCAAAACAGTCTCCCCACCTCTCTTTGCCTGGCCAACTCCTACATGCTCTTTTTTTCTGTTTCTTTGTTGTAGTGACTGAGATCACATCCTACTTTTTACTCTCAACTCCAGTGTCACGTTCTCCAGGAAGCCAGCTCGGATCCCCCAGATTAGGTTTGAGTGCCTTCGTTGAGCCTCCATGTACTCTGGGTGCTACTTGGGCACTTGTAATGACAGTTTCTATGTGTCTGAGACAGGACCCAGTTGTGCTTATTATCCCTGGGACCCTGGCAGTCTGCACAGTCAGTACCTGGCACTGAGTGATTGTCCTTTAGTAAGTGCTGGTTAGAATTGGATACCCCTTCTCCACAAGGCACCCATTTGCCTCCCTCTCCTCACACCATTCTTCTCCTGTCCTTCCTGTACAAATCCAATGCATTCCTCAAAGCCAGGCTGCAGAGCCCTCTCCACCATGAAGTATTCCTTGATCTCCAGATTCCTAGAAGGTCAGAGCTGACAGACCCTTGAAGAGCACCCAATCCAACCATCATAGACAGATAAGGAGCCTGAGGCTGGGAGAGTTCTCGCCCCAGGGCCCCCATTAGGGTTAGTGGGGCAGAGGTCATGCTGGCGTCCCACCTGGTCCAGGTAGGAGTTGGTGCGGAGAGCGATGGTGATGGCGTTGATCACCAGCAGCAGGGCCAGCAGCAGTTGGAAGGCGGGGTGTCGGAGCAGCTGCTTGATGTACATGCGAGTGATGTACTCCTGCATGTCCCAGGTGTCCTGGAGGAGGGCAGGACCTTCCTTCAGGCAGGTGTCACCACAGGAAGCCTCTGCCTGGAGGTTTGCTCTTAGAGAATGGGGGTCCCTGGGGCCCACTCTAGAGGGGGAAAGTCACCTGAGAGTGGATCATGGAATGGAGACATCAGTGTAGAGGTCACTATCTAAATGGCCACTAAAAGTGGGTTACTATTGGGGCATTTTTGTGGAAGTCATTGCCAGAGAATCTCTTTGGGCTCTCTGATAGTGAAGACGATCGTTATATAAGGGTTCCTATGGGGGACACTGCCAGAGAGTTACTAACATATCAAGGGCAGTCACTCAGGCATCAGTGCTAGGGAGGGTCCTCTGGGGGTGTTTAGATGGGAGAGGGGGCAGAGTTACCACGAGGGTCTGCTGCCCATGAGCACAGCTGCAGGAGGGGCCACTGTGGGGCGGGAGCTATCCTTACCGCTTTGTTCATGATGTCCCGGCGGTTGATGAGCACCTGCTCCTCTGGCCGACCGTAGGACTCGTGAATGGCACTCTGCAGGGGAGAGGGGCGGCCCCTCAGTGCAGCTACTCCCCTTCCAAACCCCATACGGTCCTCCTGAGTCCCGCCCCCAACCACGAGGCCTGTGTAGGAGGTCCACTGCTGCCACCAGGCCTTTTCATTATCCTTCATGGTTGCTCAGTCTCTTCTTTCTCCTCAAAGAATCCTCACTCCAAGTGGTCTCACTCCCCCTTGTGGTTATATCACAGAGGCCTCTGTGACCTCCAGCCTTCTGCATTCTACTGAGGAATTCCAACCAGGAGAGAAGCTCCTCCCATTGTCCCTCCTCCGCATCCCACAGAGGATGTCTGGGGATGCTGGGCTGGGGTTGGAAGTCAGAGGCTGATGGGAGCAGGTCAGATCTCCTGTGCAGCCTGGATGGAGTCATAGGGACGTGTCCCTGCCTTGGATCCAGGAGGTGGAGGTGAGGCTGGAATGAGGAGTGGAGAAGTGTTTTCCCCAGGGCCTTCCCAGGGCAGACCTCAACCTGCACCCCTCTGTACCAGCTGCCCTGTCCTACCTGCCCAGTCTCCAGGACTGTCCCCACCATCTTTCCATGCAAAGTGCATTTCCCCATCTATGAAGTGAAAGTTTCTCATTGTGTGCCCCTGGGGAATGGGGTAGGAGCTCACCATTAGCCTTCAAAGAGCTGGGGAGAGGTGGACCCACCATCCTGGCAGGCTTGGAGCTCAGGTACTCGCATGTACATCAACGGGCTGTACCAAGGGTCTGCCACCCCCTCTCTGGCCAAGAGCACTCACCCCAGTCCCCACCGGGGGGCAGATTTCCAATTCAAATATGGAAGTAAAGATACATGTAGACTCATTTTTTTAAAAATTGACTGTATTTGGTTGGAAAGTAGCCCTCATGTAAAACAAAGAACACCTGTACAGACCTGGTTTTGGGGGAGAACTGTCAAGGAACTGTAGGGGCAGGGCTGTGGCCCAGAGATGGGAGGATGGGGTGGGAGAGTTTCTTCTTTGGCAAGAGAGAGGGTGGCACAAAGCGCAGGCAGAGGGGTCAGCTCGGGGTGAGACCGTGATTAGCAGTACTACTTCCCACCCTGAACAGAATCCAGGGATGCTCTGTCCTGGACATGTCAGAAGCTGGGGTTGAGGTGGCCCTCGGGTCAAAGGTCAGGAGGTAGAGTGCTGGCCAGGGTCAGAGGTCAGGAGGTTGGAGGTTGCTCTCTGAGGTCAGAGGGCAGAGATGGGAGTGCTCTTCAGGGTCAGAGGACAGGGAGTTGGGGGTATGTTCTCTGGAGTCAGAGGCCAAGATGTGGGAGCTGCCTTCAGCCTGTGCCACTCCCCAGGCCCCCAGGCCCTCTGAGTACAGCTCCTGGTTCTGCTCCTTCCACTGGCGGAACTTCTCTCCTGTCAGTTCAGGGTCACCCAGCACTTCTTCTAGGACCTGCAGCTCCTGCAGCTTTGCCTGTGTGGAGAGGAGGGGCTAAGGGACCGTGATCACCCAGGGACGTGGGCAGAGTCTGAGGCCAGACTTCACTCTGGAGTCTGGTGCCTAGAAGCCAGCACCTGGCCAGCGTGGCACGAGGAGCCCAGGTGAGACTCAAATCCCCACTCGGAACCCAGAGCCTGGCCCAGTCCACAGCTGAGCCCATTGTCAGCTGCTAAGCTCAGAGTCCAGAGCTGAGTCTGGAGTCTGGTGCCCAGGGTGGAGGTGAGAGCTGCAAACCAAAGCCTGAAGCCCAGAGCTTAGTCCCTTGCTGTGCCCAGAGTCCCCAGCTGACCTTGAGTGTGCTCTGTAGCGCCCGTACACGGTGCACTCGCTCATTGAGCTGAGGGTCTCGGTTGCGCCGCATGAAAGAGCTCCGCCACTGTTCCTGGGTTAGGGGCTGTGGCCGGCCTAGGAGGGACACACCACCCTGCCTCAGCCCCTGTACCATTCCTTCCAGTGCCTCTTCACTGCTGTCTGTGGGAGGGAGGAGCAGGATGAGGATGTGCCCACCCCAGCTCCCAGCCCAGCTCCCAACTCCAGCCCAGCACCTGTCAGAGAGCCAAAGGAGGTCCGTGGGCTGCGCTGTGTGGGGGTGGCTGCAGGTGATGTGTCTCCATGGAGGGGACTCCCAGCTTGAGCAGGGCTGGGCTGCAGGCAGGGTGGAAAGCACAGAGGGTCTCTGTCTGAGCTCCATGCCCTGCTATTTATCCCCACCTCCTACACCCGGCAGCCCCCTACTCACCGAGGCTGAGTGGGACCCAGCCTCATCGTCTGGGTCTTCTGCTTCGGTCTCACTGTAGCAGTCTGGGGTGAGGAGGAGCAGTGGGCTTTGGGGAGGCCAGGGAGTGGCCTAGGGCATTTGAATTCCCAGCCCCTATCCCAGGAAAGGCAGAGGCTCAGGTGAGGGCTCCTCCTACTCAACCCTGTGAGACACCTACCTTCCTCTCGAGGCGGGGGCACCCGGCCCGGAGACTGGTACTTGGAGATGCAGGTAATGAGATGACGCACCCACCTACGGAGAGCAAGCAGGTCTCACGGGGTTTCCATTCTCCGGGGTCCTCTTGTATGCTAGGGGCTTTTTACTCACATCATCTTCTGATGATTCTCAGAGCAACTCTGAGAAGGATGAACTCTTAGTCACCCATTTTAGAGATGATGAAACTGGGGCTTAGAGAACTGAGTACTGACTGCGTGCGGTGACTCACGTCTGTCACCCCAACACTTTGGGGAGCTGAGGCAGGAGGATTGTTTAAGACCAAGTGTTGGCCGGGCGCGGTGGCTCAAGCCTGTAATCCCAGCACTTTAGGAGGCCGAGACGGGTGGATCACGAGGTCAGAAGATCGAGACCATCCTGGCTAACACCGTGAAACCCCGTCTCTACTAAAAATACAAAAAACTAGCCGGGCGAGGTGGCGGGCGCCTGTAGTCCCAGCTACTCCGGAGGCTGAGGCAGGAGAATGGCATAAACCCGGGAGGCGGAGCTTGCAGTGAGCTGAGATCCGGCCACTGTACTCCAGCCCGGGCTACAGAGCAAGACTCCGTCTCAAAAAAAAAAAAAAAAAAAAAAAAAAACCAAGTGTTTGAGACCAGCTAGGGCAAAAGAGCAAATCCCATCTGCCCCCAAAACTTTTTAATTAAAAAAAAGAGAGACGCCGGGCACGGTGGCTCACATCTGTAATCTCAGCACTTTGGGAGGCCGAGGCGGGCGGATCACAAGTTCAGGAGTTCAAGAGCAGCCTGGCCAACACAGTGAAACCCCGTCTCTACTAAAAATACAAAAATTAGCCAGGTGTGGTGGTAGGCGCCTATAGTCTCAGCTGCCTAGGAAGCTGAGGTAGGAGAATCACTTGAACCCAGGAGGTAGAGGTTGCAGTGAGCCAAGATGGCGCCACTACACTCCAGCCTGGCTGACATAGTGAGACTCTGTCTCAAAAAAAAAAAAAAAAAAAAGAGAGAGAGAGAGAAGTGAGTACCTTGACCAACCACTCTCAGAGAGCTGGACTTTGCATCTCCAGGCTCCTGAGCCCAGGCTCCCAAGCTCACAGAGGTTGGGAATTATATGAGAGTAGGGGCTAAGGGAGGCAGCACTCACATGCTCAGATCTGTCAGGGTATCAGCAGCGAAGATGAAAGGTTTGTACACATCATGGGTGAGCTGAAACACACTGTCAAGGAGTGGAGGAGCATCACTCAGCCTGGGCGTGCCCACCCAGAGCCCAGAGAGGCTGGATTCTGGGCGCCCCAGCTACTTGCCACACCTCCCACTGCCACCCCATCACTCTTCCTCTCCCTTTCTGTCTCCATCCCCCAGCCCATCATATCCCAAGACTTAACTATTTCTTCTTCTGATCATGTCCACTTTCCAGACTATAGTTGGAGACATTGATGAGGCCCTCAGCCTTCTCATCCTGGGGGGATCACAGCATGAGGGTCAAGTTGGAACCCCAATACTCTCAAGGCCCAGTCAGCTCCTAGATACCCCTCGGTCTCCTGAGGGTTGTGGAGGGGAGAAGGCATCTCCTGGGCTCTCTAACAAGTCTCTCTGTTTCTAGAGCTCAGGGCTGGAATCTGGGGTCAGGGTAGGAGGTGTGGCCAAAGGATGCCTCTAAGCCAGGAAAGGGGAGCCAAAGATATCAGAGAAACAGTCAAAAAAAAAAAAAAGAGCAGCCTGAAGGCTGGGCATGGTGGCTCATGCCCGTAATCCTAGCACTTTGGGAGGCCAAGGCAGGAGGACCATTTGAGCCTAGGAGTTTGAGACCAGCCTTGGAAAAAAGCCCATTTCTACAAAAAATTAAAATCTTAGGCCGGGCGCAGTGGCTCACATCTGTAATCCCACTGCTTTGGGAGGCTGAGGCTGGAGGATCACAAGGTCAGGAGTTCGAGACCAGCCTGGCCAACATGGTGAAACCCCATCTCCACTAAAACTACAAAAAATTAGCCAGGTGTAGTGGCAGGTGTCTGTAATTCCAGCTACTCGGGAGGCTGAGGCAGGAGAATCGCTTGAACCTGGGAGGCAGAGGTTGCAGTGAGCCATGACTGCACCACTGCACTCCAGCCTGGGCAACAGAATAAGACTCCGTCTCAAACAAAACAAAACAAAACAAAACAACACAAAACTTAGCTAGGCATGGCGGCATGTGCTTACAGTCCCAGCTACTCAGGAGGCTGAGGCAGGAGGATCACTTGAACCTGGGAGGCGGAGGCTGCAGTGAGCTAAGATCATGCCACTGCCCTCCAGCCTGGGTGACAAAGCAAGACTCAGTTTCTTTTTTTTTTTTTTTTTTTTTTTGACACGGAGTCTTGCTCTGTGCCCCAGGCTGGAGTGCAGTGGCGCGATCTCGGCTCACTGCAAGCTCCGCTCCCCCGGGTTCACGCCATTCTCCTGCCTCAGCCTCCCGAGTAGCTGGGACTACAGGCGCCCGCCACCTCGCCCGGCTAATTTTCTTGTATTTTTAGTAGAGACGGGGTTTCACGGTGTTAGCCAGGATGGTCTCGATCTCCTGACCTCATGATCCGCCCGTCTCGGCCTCCCAAAGTGCTGGGATTACAGGCTTGAGCCACCGCGCCCGGCCGCAAGACTCTGTTTCAAACACAAAAACCAAAAACCCAAACAAGAAGAGCCTGCTCATGCATTTGTTCCTTCAGTAGACACAAACAAACTGCTTCATGCCCCTGAGTTTTCTGAATGCTGCTTTCTCTTCCTGGTTTTCTTTCCCCTTCCCATGCAACTAACTGCCAGGTATTGCGTTGTCAGGGGGCACCTGGACTCCTCAGGAGGAACTGGATACCTCTGTTGTGCTCCCACATATCCCTTGGGCTTTCCCTTTATCTTAGTACACAGTTCCTACATTGTCCTTGAATGCGTATTCATCCCTCTCCCCTAATAGGCTCTAAGTTCTGGAGAAGCAAAAACCATCCGCTCTTCTGTGTGTCCATAGTGCCCAGCCTAGAGCTGGGTTCACAGTAGGCACCTGAATATTGAATGAATAAATGAGTAAATGAATGACCCATCATTGGGATGGACAGAATATCAGAAGGATAAGAAGTAGGCAGAATAGAAGTGATTTTTCAGCCAGATGTGGTGGCTCACACCTGTAATCCCAGCACTCTGGGGGGCTGAAGCAGGCAGAACGCTTGAGCCCAGGAGTTTGAGACAAGCCTGAGCAATATAGCAAGACCCCATCTCTTAAAAAAAAAAAAAGATTTTTCGGGGCTGGGCGTGGTGGCTTACACCTGTAATCCCAGCACTTTGGGAGGCTGAGGCAAGCAGATCACGAGGTCAGGAGATGGACACCATCCTGGCTAACATGGTGAAACCCTGTCTCTACTAAAATACAAAAAATTAGCCGGCTGTGGTGGCGGTCTTCTGTAGTCCCAGCTACTTGGGAGGCTGAGGCAGGAGAATGGCATGAACCTGGGAGGCGGAGCTTGCAGTGAGCTGAGATCACACCACTGCACTCCAACCTGGGCAACAGAGCGAGACTCTGTCTCAAAAAAAAAAAAAAAAAGATTTTTCTCTATACCTCCTGTGATACCTTTTCCAAACTGCTTTTATACATATATTAACTCATTTCTCTCTGAAGAAAGTCCCCATTTAACAGATGGGAACATCAGAGCCTGGGACCAGGAATAAGAATGGATGATTGAACAGAGATGAGAATTGAGGCCTGGAGGTGACTCACTTGCCTACCTGTTTGTGTGTGGGAGGTCTTACCTGGGGCTGGCGGTACCAGTAGAGCGTGTGTCCCTTGAGCACAAACCAGCAGCGGCGCCAGCGCGGGCCCATGAAGCCACCGGGTGCCTTTCGCAACAGGAGCCAGCCGTCACAGTCCGGCCGGCCCAGCTGACGGCATGACACCCGCCGGCGGCTCAGCCGGGTCGCCAGGCCTGTAGCAGCACAGCACAAGCTGGGCAGTGAGGGGCTGGCAAGGTGCCCCCGCTAAACATGCTCCCTGGCCTTCCACGAGCATCCCCAAGTGAGATCTCTGAATCCACACTCTGCTCAGAAGGCTGCGTGTGTCATCTCTGAGGTGGGATGACCCTTCTTGTTTTAGAGATGAGCAAACCGAAGACTAGAGGCTAACCTGTTTGCTCAAAGTCACAGAGCTGGTGAGAGGCCCAGACTAGGAGCACAGCTCTGTCTGACCCCAGAAACACAGCTGTTTCCAGGAGAGGCTGTGTGGGAAGGATGGGGGTGGTCTTGCCCAGCACATAAAGATTTTTAACAGCTCCTCAGACAGGGGGACCCCCACTTAGTCCAGCGCACATCATACCTTTTGATTTCTTCCGACCAACAGGACTCTGAAAGGAAATCAGAAGGGTGAGAGAAGGATCCAGGTCCAGACCCACCCACCTCCTTGCTGAGCCCCTGAGTTTACCTTGTCAGGGGATTCAGGGAGCCCTGGAGTCCCTGCTACCCCTGCTGGGAGTATGGCTGGGGTTTCCAGGGGGATGGGCAGGGGCTCAGGGCCAAGGGAGGCAGAGTCTGTCAGGGAGGGAGAAGAGACAGGGAAAGCCTATGAGCCCAGTCCCAGGCTTGGGGTCAGAACTGGGCATCTGGATGCCGTGTCCAGGGCATCCATGGGGCTTTGAGACTACCTGTCCAGGCAGGGCTGGGTCCGGGACTGGGGTTTGAAGACAGGTCGAAGGCAAAGACGTCTTCAGATGGGGCCCTGGGGAGGGCAAAGGGGATGAGATGAGCCCATGGTCTCCCCACCAAGACACACCTGGACAGAGCCTGTTACCTGGGAGACAGTGGGGCCAGAGACAGTGATGGGCTCCTCCGGTGCGGGGAGTCCAGGACCTGAGGGGGCGTCTGGGGAACAACCAGGAACAAAGCAATGGAGACAGGGGTCTGAAAGCAGGTTAGGGGTGCAACAGGGGTAGGGGAGCAGCAGGGGCAGGTACCTGTGGGGGGGTCTGGAGGCAGCTGGGGGGGCGTGGTGGGGGAAGGTACCTGTTGGGGGGGTCTGAAGGCGGGTGTGGGGGTGGTGGGGGCAGGTATCTGTTGGGGGAATCTGAAGGCAGCTTGGGGGCGGCAGGGGAAGGTACCTGCGGGGGGGTCTCCGGTATCGGGATCTTCTTCAGCACTAAGCTGAGTCCGGCTGGCTCCCGCAGCAGCTCCCTTACCATGTTCTTATGGGGCCATCCAACCTGGGGGACAGAGACACTGGCTGGCATCAACTGGGCAGGAGGCTCTGAAGCAACCACCAACTCTCACCCTCGTGCTGGGGGCGCTCTCTCAACCTCCCACTCTGCCTCCCCTCATGCAGCCTCCTGGGAGCTTCCATGGGTCCCGTCACCTGGGCTCTGCAGAGGATGCTCTCACCAGACTTAGCTGGCTCATCTCCTGGAAGGCAGCTCCCACAACCCTGGTCAGAACGCTTGGTTGCCTCCCCACCCACCAGACTTGGGTTCCACTTGGTGACCCCTTCACCTCCTACCACATCCCTCTCCTCACGCACCACCACCTGCTCGTTGATCTGGACAACCTCGTCTCCAGGTTGGATCTGCAGTTGGGAGTCAGTGGGAACCTGGTGTGGGGAAAGGGGCCTGAGGTTGGCCTGGTTTGCAGGTGAGAGGCTTCAGGGGTGGGTGGCTGGAAAGGGTGTGGGGCTCTCACCTGGGTGTCCACTTGGGACACAAAGTGCTGGCAATTGCTGGTGGTGTGAATTTCCAGGTCCTGCAGAGGCAGAGGCTGCAGTCACTGGGGTCTGGGGGGCAACAGGGCCAGTAGGCAGGACCCCTGCCAGACACCAGGACTCTACAGTGGGTGGAACTGTGGCAAGAGCTGACCCCAAGCTGGTCCTGCCCAGACTTGCTGTGTGACTTTGGACTTGCTACTCCTCTGGGCCTCTGACTTCCCCTCTGCCAAGAACAATAGGGAAACTGGAGACCCTGATTTCTGAGGTACCAGCTTCTTAGCAACATTCCTAAAGGGACAAGCAGGGATAGGGCAGGGATAGGGCTCTGGTCTTCCCCACTGGTCAAAGATTAAATCAAGAAAGGTCACGTCCTCTCCCTTTCTCCTAACTACCCCCGAGCCCCTGCCCTGTCTCCATCCCAAGGCTGGAACACCCTACCTGAGGCCACACCCACGTGGTGTGGGGACTGGGGAGGTGCGGAGCAATGGGAGACCCTAGCCAATCCTCTGGGCCTCCATTTTAGTATCTGTACAAAAAAGGCTTTCCCGCCAGGGCAGCACGGGATTCTGAGGGATCCTGGACCCTATTTCAGGCCCTGACAAGGCTGCCAAGGGGTCAGAAGTGAGAGGTGGGAGGGCAGGGCTCACCAATGGACTGTCCAGCTGCACCTGCTCGAGCACGGCCCTCTGCTCCAGCAGCTCCTTGGGGCAGCAGACCAGGATGTTGTGGCAGATCCCAGCCACGTGGCTGCACTGGGGGAGGGGAGCGGGCTGTCTAGCCTGAATCGTCCCCACCCCCACTCCCTTCCCACCCCACAGACTCACGATCCTCAGGACTGTGCCCTCCTTCTCGTCTGCTGGACCATCCTGGAAGCAGAATGAGAGAGCGGGGGCCTCCCCTGAGCAAGGGCCATAGGGGGACTGCCTTCTCCTGGGGGCAGGGTGGGATTCCCTGCAGTCCCTCCCTGCCTTCTCTATACTGGCTCCCTGCCCAGAACCACAGGGCCTCAGTGTTTTAACCAGAGGGCTCGTTTCCCTGATACCAGGCCCCCAGAAGTCACCACACGTGCCCTGCCCTCCCACCCTGTCCTGAGTGTCAAAATTCCCCTACCAGCTAGGAGACCCCAAAAGGCCCCATCGTCCCATACCCAGTTGCAGGACCTCCTCTCCTCCTTTCTCGCTCGTCTCAAGCCTCATACCCGATCCTGGGCTGATTCACAGGTTATAAAAAGCTCTAGCCCAGCTTGGTCTCTAGGGCATGGGCCAAGCCTGGCCCTTGGTTCTCCTACCTCATGCAAGACCTGGCTCAGCTCCTCCAACAAGTCCCGGATCTCCTGGCATGCTGAGAAGTCATTTAAGTGGGAGAAGAGGTACCTGGCAGGGGAAGAATGGCACAGGGGAAGAATGGCACAGTGGTTAAGGGACTATGCTTAACCACTCAGAGCCAATTACTCACCAATTACTCACCTCAGAGACTTGGGGATAATACCTGCTCTGATGGGTTTTGGTTTAGAGTAAAGGAGATGATTGAGACATCTAAAGGGATTAGCAGAGGACTTATTTGTCATGTGCCTACCACATGCCAACCCCTGTTCTAGGCACTGGGGAAACAGACTTTAAAGACATCATACATTAGTATCAATTTAACTTCAGTTGTAATGAGTATCATGAAACATTGGATAATGAGTTTATAATAATAAGTTATTATTTATTATTAATAGTATAGCTTTGAGAGTGTACAACAGGGAAAGCTTCCTCAAGCAGGTGGCGTCTGAGGACAAGCAGCAGCCAGTGAACAGGGTTGGGGAGGCTCTCCATTCAGTGGTTGTTGATAAGACTGATTGTTACAAGCTGGAGGATGGGGTGGGAACCCAGGCATCCCAGTGCCCCTGCACAGATGGACTAATCCCTTTGCCCTGCTCCGCTGTATCTTTTTTTTTTTCTGAGATGGAGTCTCACTCTGTTGCTCAGGCTGGAGTACAGTGGCATGATCTTGGCTCACTGGAACCTGCACCTCCCAGGTTCAAGTGATTCTCCTGCCTCAGCCTCCCGAGTAGCTGGGATTACAGGTGCGCACCACCACAACTGGCTAATTTTTAATATTTTTGGTAAAGACGGGGTTTCACCATGTTGGCTAGGCTGGTCTCAAACTCCTGACCTCAAGTGATCTGCCTGCTTCAGTCTCCCAAAGTGCTGGGATTACAGACGTAAGCCACCACACCTGGCTCACCATATCTGAACAAGAGCCAAGCTCTGTTTTTCTCTCCCACACCCTGGAGGAGGCCAAAGATGACAAGAGTCCCTCACTCGTCACCCCAACCTGGGTACCTGCTGAGCCAGAAGAGGAGGGTGTTGGCTTCATGCACCAGCTCCACAGTTGCACAGAGGACATCAATAGGGGTCTTGGCACAGTCCCCCAGGCGGCCTTGGACTATGCTCTGGAAGTCACGGGTTGCCCCCAGCAGCCCCTCTGTCAGGCTCTTCAGGTTCTCTGTCTGTAGCCTGGAGCTCTGTGCCAAAGAGAGGGCAAGTCACCTCCCTGGCAGCAGCCAGCCCCCATCGGCACCCCCCAGGTTGGTGGAAGCTGCAGCCAGTGTGACCAGCATTCACTCACCAGGGCCTGGAGCTGTTCCACCCCGCCCAGGATGAGCTCCTGGTGTCCCAGACACCGCACAGCCAGAGCCTCGAGGCTTCGGGGGCAGAGCTGGAGCAGGTTCTTGCCAGGCAGCTGCCAGTCCTCAAAGGGATAGTCCTGCAGGGAGTCGTCAAGACCTGGAGGGAGAGCAGGGCTCAGCTCGGGGGAAGCAGAGGTGTCAGGACCTTTTGGGCTGGTTCTTCACGCCTGCAAAGCCCTTTTCCCTCTAGTCTAGCCCTAATGATAACCCTGACACCCAGGCTGTTCTGCCCATTTCACAGATGAGGCCACCGAGTTGAGGAGCAGGAAAGTATAGGGCTCTCAAAAGTGGCCCCCAGACCAGCAGCAGCAGCCTCACCGGACAACTTGTTAGAAATGCAAATTATCAGGCCTCACACCACACCTGCTGAATCAGAAACTCTGAGGTTGGGGCCCAGCAGTTTTTCTTTATCTTTTTTTTTTTTTTTTTTTGAGACAGGGGCTTGAGACACAATCATGGCTCACTGCAGCCTTGACCTCCTAGGTTCAATCCATCCTCCCACCTCAGCCTCCCGAGTAACTGGGACTACAGGCACACACCACCACACCCAACTAATTTTTGTATTTTTTGCAGAGACGGGGTTTCGCCATGTTGCCCAGGCAAGTCTCGAACTCCTGGGCTCAAGCAATTCAACTGCCTCAGTCTCTCAAAGTGCTGGAATTACAGGTGTGAACCACGACGCCCATCCAGCTGTTTGTATTTTAATGAATCCTGCAGGTGATTATGATGCTCCCTTAAGTTTGAGAACTAACAATATAGGGGATAAGAACAAGAGGCCGTGGAGTCACTGAGACACTGTGAACACTTGAGCAAGTAATAGCACTGCTCTGTGCCTCAGTTTTCTCACCTGTAACATGGGAATAATAAAAGTACCTACCTTCTAATCATGTGTGTTTTAAATGACACGACATATGTCAAGGCCTTGGCCATTGTCTGGTTCGTGGGAGACAAGTCAATAATAGCCATCGTATTATTATTGCCAGACTTTACCATGATCTACAGGCCCTGTATGATTAGGCTACCACCTCCCTTTCCAGCATCATATCCTGAAGAGCCCCCCAGACTCAACACTTCAGATGCACAGAGCTAATTCCTTGCAGCTCCTGGAATACCCTTTTACCTCAGGGTCCTTAGAGTGCTATTCCTCCTGCTGGTGTTGCTGTTCTAGCTCCTTCACTTCCTTTTTCAGCTAACTTCCTCCAGAAAGACTTCCATAACTTCCCAGGCTGAGTGGGGTGGGGGGCTCTCCTCTTGTTCCCACTGCCCCCGAGCCTCCACAAACCCCTGCACTTGACCATCGGTCTTTCCCATTTTATCACAGGCTCTTCAAAGATCAGGCCTTAGATAACCATTTGTCTCTAACCCCCAGCCTGTGCCTGGACAAGGTAGACACTCAAAAATAAGAAAAGTGTCTATCAAGGGCTTACTATGTGCTATGCAAAGCTATAAGAGCTTTACACATATTAACACATTTGATTCTCACTACATTTCTAGGAGGTAAAGACTATCATTATCCTGTTTACAGATGGGAAAACTGACACAGAGGTTAAGTAGCTTGCTCACTCTTCAAAGGAATTCTTCCCCTCCTGAGCCAGGCTCCTTCACTGGGGGGGGTGTGTGTGTGTGTTCCCTGTGTCACATTCAGAGCACCGGACTGGGAGTTCATGAACCTGTCACTCCCTGGCTATGGGTCCCTGAGCCACCTCCTTCCTGCATGGTGACTGTATTCGGCTGCTGCCCTCACAATAGCCCCAGGAATTGAGCTACAAATGAGCTGTGTCATGATTGTCTCACTTTGTCCACTTTATGAGGTCAGAGTTGCCTTTCCCATTTGATGGGCAGAAAAACTGAGACCTACGGTCACAGAGCTGGCAAGTGGTGGGGGTGGGCCTGGAATCCAGCCTGGGAGTCTGAACCCAGCCCTGAATTCCTGCCCTTACCTGGGCTGGTCCTCCTGAGCCTGTCTAGTGCGCTCCAGCTCCCGGCTCTGGGAGGCGTGTCCTGACTGCCTGCTCCTGGCTGCACTGCACTGCGTGTCAGGAGGCCCTTCTCTGAGTCTGCCTGTGGGGTGTGCTGCTTCCCATCTGTCTGGGCTCGCTGAGCCTGGACAGCACCTTGCCCCTTGGATAGGAGCCCCAGGGTGGGGCTGTGTCAACCTCTTCAGTCTAGTCTAGGCCTTCTGCTTTTGTCACTAGGAGCTCAGGGTGTGGAGGGGGCAGAATGACACCAGAGACTGAGCAAATCACTTCCTGGCTCTGTGCGTCAGTTTCTGACTCTAAGAAATGGATTTAACAACAGCCCACTGGCCCTGGGGCCAGGGAAGATAAAGAAGATACAGTAGGCCTGGGCCTGCCAGGCCTCCCTCCTGTTTTCATGACACCGCCTCCCCATTACCACCCTAGAGGCCTCTTTGGCTGCTGCCACAATGAGGGGCCCCCTTCTGGGTCCTTGGGGCCCCCGGGGTCATCTCATTTGTCTCTCTGCCGAGCACAGTACCTGGAACATGGTAGGTACTCTGTAAATACTTGTTGACTGACTGACTGACTGACTGATAGAGCCCGCAGGTTATTTTGTTTTTTGTGTTTTTTTTGGGATGAATCTCACTCACCCAGGCTGGAGTGCAGCGGTGCAATCTCGGCTCACTGTAACCTCCACCTCCTGGGTTCAAGCGATTTTCCTGCCTCAGACTCCCAAGTAGTTGGGATTACACAGGTACCTGCCACCACCCCCAGATAATTTTTGTATTTTTAGTAGAGACAGGGTTTCACCATGTTGACCAGGCTGGTCTTGAACTCCTGACCTCACGTGACCCACCCACCTTGGCCTCCCAAAGTACTGGGATTACAGGTGTGAGCCACCGCACCCAGTCCACAGGTTCTTTTTCCTTTTCCCCTCCTCCCTCTTCCGGTGGGACCCATACCTAGTCCCCTTCAAGCCCAACTCTACCCCGGTCCCACCCACCTCTCAGCCAAGTTGCCACCTTTCCGGGGGTCCAGGTCTCTACCGGTTCCATGGCCCAGCGCTGCCGGCTCGCATCAGCTCCTGTATTGCCCCGCTGGCGCCGGAATTTCCGCTCCCAGAGCCCAGGCCTGAGGAGGGGCCGGGCTGGGTCCTGGGCGGAGCCTACTGCATACCTGGGCTCACACAGACGGCCAGGTGAGGCGCTGCGACAGCCATTGGCCGACGCCCATCCGCCTCCTGCCCAGCCTTTCAGGCATCCTAGGGCTCTGGCATCTCACCCCAGCTAGGGGGCAGTGCCACTGGCCTCATATGGCTGGGTGGGACGCTGACCCTTGGGCTCCTCAAGAAAAAGCCACAAGAGGAGTGCTAAGCTCAGTAGCAAAGCACGGAGGCTAGGGTGCCAGGTCCCTGGGTGCCTAGGCCAGCTCTTGTTAACTGTGTGACCTGGGGCTGACCATAACTTCTGCGCCTCCGTTTCTGGGTCTGTAAAGGAGATATAATAGACCTTACTTCAAAGGGCAGGTGTGCACAGTATCTGAATAGCTTGAAAACATTTTAGAACTGGGGTGTTTAGCCTCCCTTTGATTTTGCAGTATGGACTCCGGCATCTGGTGAGGCTTGTGAACGCTTTCTCAGAATAGCTGCTTATAAAGGCATAAAACAGGCCGGGCGTGGTGGCTCACGCCTGTAATCCCAGGACTTGGGAGGCCGAGGCGGACGGATCAATTGAGGTCAGGAGTTCAAGACCAGCCTGGCCAACATGGTGAAACCCCATCTCTACTAAAAATACAAAAAATTAGCTGGGCATAGTGGGTGCCTATAATCCCAGCTACTCAGGAGGCTGAGGCAGGAGAATCGCTGGAACCCAGGAGGTGGAGGTTCCAGTGAGCCAAGATCATGCCACTGCACTCCAGCCTGGACAACAGAGCAAAACTCTATATTATAAATAAATGAATAAACAAATGCACAAAACAAAATTCTTAGGATTACAATGAGAATAATTATCAAAACTATATTTAAAAACAAATTTGGCCAGGCGCGGTGGCTCACGCCTGTAATCCTAGCACTTTGGGAGGCCAAGGCGGGTGGATCATGAGGTCAAGAGATGGAAACCAGCCTGCCCAACATGGTGAAACCCCATCTCTACTAAAAATACAACAATTAGCTGGGTGTGGTGGTGCACGCCTGTAGTCACAGCTACTCAGGAGGCTGAGGCAGGAGAATCGCTTGAACCCAGGAGGCGGAGGTTGCAGTGAGCTGAGATTATGCCACTGCACTCCAGCCTGGTGACAGAGCGAGACTCCGTCTCACAAAAACACCCACAAAAAAAAAAAAAAAAATTTGGAGCTGGGGAGCGCTGGCACACAACTGTAGTTCTAGCTACTCAAGAGGTTGAGAGGTTGAAAGGTTGAGGTGGGGAGTATCACTCAAGCCCAGAGTTCAAAGCCACCTGGGCAACATAGCAGGACCCCATCTCAAAAAAATAAAACCAGAAATTTATGATATTATGGGTTTACTAACATTAACAAGACTGGCCAAAAGTTAAATTTTCCTTTTTTAATGACCTCAGTGTGTTGTCGACCAGCTTGAATAAGAACATTAAACTGTGCGGTGGTCTTTGACTCCCCTCCTCTTACATATTGATCAGCAAACAACTAAAGACAGGGAATGCAGAAGAGTGGAGAAGCTCTACTGAGAACAGGCAGATTCACCCTTTGGTCACTGAACCACTGCTAGGCCTGGAGGTGCCCAGTTAATGGCGGCTACATCACAGGAGCATCTGAAACAGAAGGTGCTCATGAACAATTTAGCGGTGGTTTAACAACCACTGTGAATTTGAAATCATTCGAGCATAAATATTTTGAGATACTTGCAATAACTACAATTTGACATGAAAATGTCTGTGATTTCTTTTTTTTGATGAGGAGTCTCGCTCTGTCGCCTAGGCTGGAGTGCAGTGGCACAATCTCGGCTCACTGCAAGCTCCGCCTCCCGGGTTCACGCCATTCTCCTGCCTCAGCCTCCCGACTAGCTGGGACTACAGGCGCCTGACACCACACCTGGCTAAGTTTTTTGTAATTTTAGTAGAGACAGGGTTTCACCGTGTTGGCCAGGATGGTCTCGATCTCCTGACCTCGTGATCCACCCGCCTCGGCCTCCCAAAGTGCTGGGATTACAGGCATGAGCCACCACACCCGGCCAAAATGTCTGTGATTTCTGTTGGTGACTAAGCCAAAGATACTACTACTTCAATCCATATACAAGGAAATCATAAATTTTGGTTAGAGGTTAGCAAAAATAAAAATATAATTTTTCCCATCCAAGTTTATGGATCCCCTGAATTCTGGACCCCAGAGTAAGAGCTTTCATCTTAGAAAAATATCTGACACATAGTAAATGTTCATTTTCATCATCATCATCTCAGGTCAGGGGACTACCAGGACTTTAGAATCAGATAAAATCAGCTGGGCGTGGTGGCTCAGGCCTGTAATCCCAGCACTTCGGGAGACTGATGTGGGTGGATCACCTGAGGTCAGGAGTTCGAGACCAGCCTGACCAACATGGAGAAACCCCATCTCTACTAAAAATACAAAATTAGCCAGGCGTGGTGGTACATGCCTGTAATCCCAGGTACTCGGGAGCTGAGGCAGGAGAATCCCTTGAACCCTGGAGGTAGAGGTAGCGGTGAGCCAAGATCGCATCATTGCACTCCAGCCTGGGCAACGAAAGTGAAACTCCATCTCAAAAAAAAGAAAAAAAAAGGCTGGGCGCGGTGGCTCACGCCTGTAATCCCAACACTTTGGGAGACCAAGGCGGGTGGATCATCTGAGGTCAGGAGTTCGAGACCAGCCTGGCCAACATGGCAAAACCCTGTCTCTACTAAAAATCCAAAAAATTAGCTGGGCATGGTGGAGGGTACCTATAATCCCAGCAACTCGGAATGCTGAGTCAGGAGAATTGCTTGAACCCGCAGGCAGAGGTTGCAGTGAGTCGAGATTGTGCCATTGCACTCCAACCTGGGCAACAAGAGCAAAATTGTCTCAAAAAAAAAAAAAAAAAAAAAATCAGATAAAATCAGTTCCACACTCAACTGCTATGTGACTCAGCCCAACTTCTACAGCTCTCTGAATCTGTTTCTTCCTCTCCAGAAGGGATAGATACCTAGGCCTTAGCACTGTGATGACATTAAGTACTTTGAAATCTGCATCATGGGGTAGATATGAGTTATTATTGCTTTAATTCTGTGGGGAGGAGCCAACTGTTGTCACCTACTTCAGAATTTCTGCAGCACCCCCAGTCGTCAAAGCCTGTCACGACCTTACCGGTAACCCAGAGACCCAAAGTCTGAATTTCGCCCATGGTTGGCCCATGTAGTGTATGTGTGTTGTCAACATTTAATAATGTCACATACAAATTGAGATTTTCAGCTTCTCTGAACTTGGTCAGCTCTGGTGATGGCATCCCACCTTCACACTTGGTATTAACAGCCTCTTTCATTTTGAGCCAGTTGGCCTCATATTTGCAAAATGCCTGTCTCCAGCTTTGTGTTTTGCCTCGGGTCTGTGTCCCTTGAACACTTTGTGCTGCATCCTCCTTTAACATTTTTGCCTCTTCATGCAGCAGCCTCCCTATGGCACTCTAGCGAAGTCCAGTAAATTCTAACAGAGCCTTTATCCCCGTGTTCGGTAGACAGATCTGGATTTCATCAAATATCTTTCCTGAGCTGCCACCAGAGGTGAGAACCAGCCCCTTTCCTCCTTGAACCACGGTACCTTTACTCTATGCTCCCAGCATCTGCCAGGGCTAGGCAGTTAGGGACACAGTAAGTGGCAACTTCTATTTATTTTTATTTATTCTTTTGAGATGGAGTTTTGCTCTTGTTGTCCTGGCTGGAGTGCAATGGCGTGATCTTGGCTCAGCGCAACCTCCACCTCCCAGGTTCAAGCTATTCTCCTGCCTCAGCCTCCCAAGTAGCTGGGATTACAGGCGTGCACCCCCACACCCGACTAATTTTGTATTTTTAGTAGAGATGGGGTTTCACCATGTTGGCCAGGCTGGTCTCAAACTCCTGACCTCAAGTGATCCACTTGCCTCGGCCTCTCAAAGTGCTGGGATTACAGGCATAAACCACCATGCCCGGCCGGCAGCTTCTATTTTAAAGGGCTTTGTTTTGTTTTTTGAGAGTCTTGCTCTGCTGCCCAGGCTGGAGTACAGTGGCGCAGTCTTGGCTCACTGCAACCTCTCCCTCCCAGGTTCAAGTGATTCTCGTACCTCAATCTCCCGAGTAGCTGGGATTACAGGTGTGCGCCACCACACCCAGTTAATTTTTGTATTTTTAGTAGAGACAGGGTTTTGCCACGTTGGCCAGGCTGGTCTCAAACTCCTGACCTCAAGTAATCCACCTACCTCGGCCTCCCACGCTTGGCTCCCTGGGATTACAGGCGTGAGCCACCATGCCCGGCCTATTTTAAAAAGCTTTATGAATATAAAGTTCTACATATTTGCTGTATACATTTCAAAGGTAATAGGTTAAGTGAAAGCAGGATGTGCCCTTTCCCCAGTGTGTCTCTATCATGTTCCCCAGTGGGGGCCACTGCTAAATTTGGGATATTCTTCTGTTTTCTATATCTGCAGATAGTCTACATACTATTCTGCAAACTGTACTTTTTCTTTTCTTTTCTTTTCTTTTATTGGAGACAGGGTCTGGCCATCACCCAGGTTGGAGTGCAATGGTGTGACCTCGGCTCATTGCAGCCTCCACCTCCTGGGCTCAAGTGATCCTCCTACCTCAGCCTCCTGAGTAGCTGGGACTACAGGCATGCACCACCATGCCTGGCTAAATTATTATTATTTTTTTTGGTAGAGATGAGGTTTCACCTTTGCCCAGACTGGTCTCGAACTCCTGGACTCAAGCAATCTGCCTGCCTCAGCCTCCTAAAGTGCTGCCCAACCATACTTTTTCATTTAAGAGATAATGGATACCAAATGAAATACAAGTTACGTGCTTAGAACAATGACTACTATTTTTAACGTGTCATGGGCAGCTTTCTTAATTGGTATATGCAGATATGCTTTTATCACTGTTTCAAGCTGAGGGCAGGGAAGTCCCTGCAGAAACTTTGTCTTGAAGAAACGGGTTAAATTGGCTGGGCGCAGTGGCTCATGCCTCTAACCCCAGCACTTTGGAAGGCCGAGGCGGGTGGATCATGAGGTCAGGAGTTCAAGACCAGCCTGACCAATATGGTGAAACCCCGTCTCTACTACAAATACAAAAATTAACCGGGTGCAGTGGCAGGTGCCTGTAATCTCAGCTACTCGGGAGGCTGAGGCAGGAGATTCGCTTGAATCTGGGTGGCAGAGGTTGCAGTGAGCTGAGATCATGCCACTGCACTCAGGCCTGGGTGACAGAGTGAGAATCTGTCTTTGAAAAAAAAAGAAAGAAAGAAATAGGTTAAATGTGCCATCCCTCAAGGTAGGGGTGGTTGATTTCACAGAAATCAAATCGAAAAGGCACCCTCCCCTTCCTTCCATAATGCTGGCATCCAATCATCTGAAGTAGGGATGGGGCTCGGACCAGGGGCTGAGGGAGGCCCGCCCAGTACCTGGTCCACGCCTGGGACTCCTGAGCCCTGCCAGCCAAGGCCTCTTCTGCCTACCCAGACCCGCCTCCTTGGACAGTGGGGGAGGTGCCGCTCAAGCCTGATGCTGATCTCTTTTGACAGCTGCTCCTAAGGCTGGCAGGATGGTAGGCAGTGGGGGAAGGGACCAGATTTAAAGGTCCAGTTGCTCCGCCCCCTGCCAGACCTTGGCAGGCAGGCGCGGGTGAGCATCCTCTGAGGGCTTGGGTCTTGCGTATGTAGAAGGTCAGAGACCCCTCTACCCTAGTTTCCACTTCTTGGTATCATAAAGACCACTGGTCTTCATGTCCGCGCCCACCCTATAGGCCGCCAGGGAGACCAGTGCCGCCCACCATGCGATTTCGACGCCTGACCCCTGGTTACTTCCGGGTGCTACAGGTAAGTACCCCTGATCAATGGTTTCTGGCACGAGTGACCCCTTCTTCCCCCTACCATAGCTGGGTTGACACCCCCAACAGCCAGGCTGTCACGTTCCCTGCCGCCTGAGCAGGCAGGCCCAGATGGGCAGTGAGGCGAAAGGGATTGGGGTGGAATCTCCCTGGGGCAGTACCAGCGTCCATGTCTCCTTCCCCTAGCTACACCTACTCAGCCCCTTCCCACTCCCCACCTTCCTGGCAGTCTCAACTGACCCCTGAGGCACACCCTCTGTGCACCTCCAGATGCAGGTAGCTGGTGAGCTGAAGGCAGAGCCCCGCAGTCTGCTGGTGGGAGTTGTGGCTACAGTGCTAGCTGTCCTCGGGCTGGGTGGCTCCTGCTATGCCGTCTGGAAGATGGTGGGGCAGCGGCGGGTGCCACGGGCCCCATAATGAAGAAGAGAGACTCTCACCTGGACGCTGGGGGTAGGTGACTCGGGAGGGGGCTGCAATCTCAGAAGCCTTCTTTTCTGGGGATCAGTCTCTGTCGGAAGCAGGACAGAGTAATCTGATCCCACTCCCGCCACCCCACACTGCATCAGGCCTCCATCTGGGTGCTCCAGTTCAGATGCTAGGACCTCAGAGGGAAGGCAGGGATGTGGGCTCCAAAGATAGACCAAGATTGACACCCTAGGCCTGGTGCACAGAAAGGACTAGACAAGCCCTTCCAGGGCAGGAGTTTGAGACAGCGACCTGGAAGTTAGAGTTGGAGGCAAGCTCTCTTTGTCCAGTTCCTTTATTGGGGGCAGGGCACCCAGAAGAGGCCGTCCGTTCCCCAAACCCAGAGCCAAAAGGGGTTGGCACGCTCCCTCCCAGCCTAGTCCTTGCGTCACTGTCCATGGGCAACTCCTCTGCCCTGCATCTTCAGGCCATGTCAGGTAGAGGTGTCCATCTCAGGGACCTCAGTGGACACTTCTGTGGGCACTGCTAGCCGCCTGGGGGGCACATAGGATCCCATACCCGCTGCCCTCTCCGCCTCTTCCTGACTGTAGGGCTCGACGCTCAGCTGCTTCAGCCTGGGAGAAAGAAAAACAGGAGTTGGGAGCTGACAGGTGAAAGCCCTATCTGCTGAGCACCCATCCATCAATCCTCTCCTCACTCCTTCATACCTTTTCTTGTGGTCTTTGGATCGGAAGTGGGTCTTCAGATTGGCGGAATCGATGAAGTACCTCCTGTAGGGATGGAAGTGAGAAGGAGAGTGAGGAGGTGATAGTCTCCCAAGTACACCTATCTCCATAGCCCTAGCTTGTCCCTGACGCCAGGATCCGGGTCTGAGAAACGGGAGGCGGGCGGACCCACGGGTCCCAAGAGAGAAGGCTCTGCACGGCCTGGGGCTTGAACTTCACATCTCCCGGCCGGTACCGCGGACCCTCCTCCGCCCCAGGCCGGGCTCGTCCGGGACTCACGCGCAGGCCAGACAGCGGTGCAGGCCGCCCCCTGGCAGGTCGGGGTCGGGCTCGGCGTCTGGGTCGGGCTGGGGCCGTGCGGGTCCCAGAGGCCGCAGCTCGCGGTGAATTTCATCCAGGTCCGGCCGCCGCCGCTTCGCCTTCATCTGCCGGGCTAGAGAGTGCGCTCGGTGCGCGCCTGTCCGGCGGGAGCGACCCATGGCCAGAAACAGCCCGGCCAACCAAGGGGCCAGGAGCAGGGCAGTGAGCACACGTGTGAGCGCTTCCGGGCCGATCAGCGACGTCAGGCCACGCAGGGGGGCGAGGCAGGCTCTGCCGGACCGCCTCTGATGACGTCACTCTCGGCCAGCGGCTCGAGCGCCGCCAGGCGGCCGTCGACGTCAGTGACCGAGCTCGGGACGGGTCTCCAAAATTGTGACCACTGAAGGGCATGGCCACGCGGGCCCTAGCTGGGGAAGCGCGGGGTGGTGCGTGCGCCTAGGGGTTTCGGGGCCGTCTTGCTGCCCTGCTCTCCCTGGCCTGGCCCAACCAGTATCAGTGCCAACCTCTGCCCCTGTTGTCCCTTCCTGTTTCCCAGACCTTGGACTCCGCGGTGGGGGTGGGATGCTGCATCGCTGGAAAGCACTGATAAATGTCTGTGTCATGAATAAATTAGCAAATGACTGAGAGTGAATAAGCTTGGAATCCCAGCCCCACAGGGCTTCCCGAGATATCTCCAGTCCCTGGAAAACCCGTCACTTTTCCCGGCTCCCATTATTCCCTTGAATCTCCATCCTCTCTGCCCCCAGCCAAATCCATGAAGGGTGTTCCTCCCCAGAGATTGCAGTCCTCAGGCATCCAGATTCCAGAGGGCTCAGTTCCTCTCACAAGTACTTATAGAAGGACCTCTCCATCTTTGCCTCCTTTCTCTAAGCCCTGGGCTCCCAGAGGTGGGCTGGCAGCAAAGGCCTAGGTATTGCATGCTCAGAGTGGGCAGAAGCCTAGAGGGCCTTTCCCCATTCACAGGATCCTGGTGCCTCCCAGGCTGGCCAGAGCCAACTCAGCTGGAAGGGGCCAGAGGAGCTTAGCAATAATTCAGGGGCTCCAGCTCTTTGGAATCTGTTGCCAGGAAACAAGGAGACAGGCACGTGTATCCCTGGGGAGAGGAATCAGTTTCCAGCCCAGACAAAGGAGTGAAATGTAAGCCCAAGGTGCCCACTGGGGGCCTGGGGACCTTCCTGCTCCAGTTCATTGAGGCTGAGTAGGGACAAGGGGTGGAGCCCTGCTGAGGACACAACTGGTATGACTACAGTCACAGGGGCTCCAGTGTGGGTCCCAGACCTCAGGATTTTGTGAATGGAAGAAGATTTTCCTGGAGCCATGCTAAGAGATGAACAACCTCAAGTACTCCTAGGCCCAAGAAGAAAGCCTCTCTAGGGCCGGGCGCGGTGGCTCAAGCCTGTAATCCCAGCACTTTGGGAGGAGGACGGGCGGATCACGAGGTCAGGAGATCGAGACCATCCTGGCTAACACGGTGAAACCCCGTCTCCACTAAAAAATACAAAAAACTAGCCGGGCGAGGTGGCGGGCACCTGTAGTCCCAGCTACTCGGGAGGCTGAGGCAGGAGAATGGCATAAACCCGGGAGGCGGAGCTTGCAGTGAGCTGAGATCCGGCCACTGCACTCCAGCCTGGGCGACAGAGCGAGACTCCGTCTCAAAAAAAAAAAAAAAAAAAAAGAAAGCCTCTCTAGAGACAGATGTCTTCGTTATTCTTGGCCAATATGGGTCAAGACAAGGAGCTAAGGTGGCGGAAGCCTGTTCCATCCCCCACCCCCCTGACTCCTTTGGATCAGGTTCACCTCCTGGGCACTGTGCCAGCTGGGGAGGCTGGTACATCTTTAATGAAGTCACTGGATCCCCCAGACAGGCTCTTGGCCTCACCAAGTTCCTAGGGCCAGACTCACTGGTATCCACTGAGCCACCACCTTCCTGTGCTAGGGTGCCAGACCCCTTCCCCCTGCAGCCATGAACCAGGCCTTCTGGAAAACCTACAAGTCCAAAGTGCTACAGACACTGAGTGGGGAATCTGAGGAAGACCTGGCAGAGGAGGTGGGTACCATCCATGCATGCTGGGTGGAGCATATGCAGAGGGGCAGCAGGAATGAGCAGTATGAAGTGGGGCACAGGATAGGCTTGGAGGTGGGGGGGCCACGTTCGTGCAGACAGCACATTCAGGAATGGTAAAGAGCATGGTGCAGCATCAGAAAGCCAGGACATTCAAGAAAACTGAGGAAGAAGAAAAGACTTAGGGACTATGGAAGGAGTGGCCACTGTCTCCAAAGATCTCGAGGCTGCCACATGGAAGAGATTCTTCTAGGACCAGTGGGCAGTAGGCACATGGGCACACTTAGCTGGACACAACTTTCTAATGGGAGCAGAATTAGGAGTAATGTAGTGAGCCTCCTGTTACTAGAGGTAGGGGGAGTGGCGCCTATACTAGAAAGGTCACTGTGGCAGCATCAGATCAAAGCCATACTTAGACCATGTGTTGTTCTGACATTAAAAAAAAAAAAAAAAAAAAAAAAAAAACAGGCTGGGCTAGGCATGGTGGCTCATGCCTGTAATCCTAGCACTTTGGGGGGCCAAGGCGGGTGAACTGCCTGAGCTCAGGAGTTCAAGACCAGCCTGGGCAACACAGTGAAACCTAGTCTCTACTAAAATACAAAAAAAAAGTAGCCAGACATGGCAGCGTGTGCCTGTAATCCCAGCTACTTGGGAGGCTGAGGCAGGAGAATTGCTTGAGCCTGGGAGGTGGAGGTTGCAATGAGCGGAGATTGTACCATTGCACTCCAGCCTGGGTGATGGGGCAAGACTCTGCCTCAAAAAAAACAAAAAAACAAAAAACAGGCTGGGTGCAGTGGCTCCCGCCTGTAATACTAGCACTTTGGGAGGTCACAGAGGGTGGATCACCTGAGGTCAGGAGTTGGAGAGCAGCCTGGCTAACATGGCGAAACCCTGCCTCTACTAAAAATACAAAAATTAGCCAGGCATGGTGGCGGGCACCTGTAATCCTGTCTACTCAGGGGCTGAAGCAGGAGGATCACTTGAGCCCAAGATTTTGAGACCAGCCTGGGTGACATAGGGTGAAACCCTATCTCAACAAAAAAATACAAAACTTAGACAGGCACGGCGGCACCACACCTGTAGTCCCAGCTACTCAGGAGGCTGAGGTGGGTGGATCGCTTGAGCCCAGGGAGGTCAAGGCTCCACCGCACTACAGCCTGTGTGACAGGTGAGGCTTTGTCTCAAAACAACAATGACAACAGCAAAGTTTCTGAAACCAGGGACAGTCTTATGTCTGGAGGCTGTGATAAGTGGCAGTCACACAATCACAAGAAGTGTGGCAGAGGCAGGAATTGGTTGGGAGGGGCGGAGAATGGTTTGAATGCTTGAATGTCTGGAGAGGTTGGTGTCTAAGGCTGGGCTTGTGCAGAAATGTCGGTGGGTAACTGGTGTGATCAGTGTCTGTGTGGAATCCCCAGTGAAGGTGTATGTGTAGGTGTGAACATTTTGGGCAGCAGTCTATGCCTGTATGCCTCTGTGTAGACATTTGTAGGTGTTATGTTTGTATGGTGTACGTGTTTTGGTATCTGTTTTTGGGTGAAGAGGTTTTGTGTGTTGCGGATGGGCCTCCGTGCAGCTTTCTGTGGTTGTGTAAGTGCACAGGTGTGAACGGTATAACTGTGTGTGTCCTTGTATAGGTACCTCATTAACACATACGTCTATGTGCAGATGAAGAGCTGTAGCCATGTGGGGCACACTCATGTACAGGTGTGTGTCTACATCAGAGTGCATGCCCATGTCCACATGCTTTTGAGTGTATATGGATGTGTCTGTGGTGGGCAGGTATGTGTGCTCAAGGGTGTCTGCAGCTCGGGCCAGTGGCTCACACCTATAATCCCAGCACTTTGGGAGGCCGAGATGGGCAGATCACTTGAGGCCAGGAGTTCGAGACCAGCCTGGCCAACATGGCAAAACCCCATCTCTATTAAAAATACAAAAAGTTGGCCGGGCGCGGTGGCTCAAGCCTGTAATCCCAGCACTTTGGGAGGCCGAGGCGGGCGGATCACGAGGTCAGGAGATCGAGACCATCCTGGCTGACACGGTGAAACCCCGTCTCTACTAAAAAATACAAAAAACTAGCCGGGCGAGGTGGCAGGCGCCTGTAGTCCCAGCTACTGGGGAGGCTGAGGCAGGAGAATTGCGTGAACCCGGGGGCGGAGCCTGCAGTGAGCTGAGATCCGGCCACTGCACTCCAGCCTGGGCGGCAGAGCGAGACTCCGTCTCAAAAAAAAAAAATAAATTAAAAAAAAAAAAATACAAAAAGTAGCAAGGTGGTGGCAGGTGCCTGTAATCCCAGATACTCAGGAGGCTGAGGCAGGAGAATCACTTGAACCCGGAAGGCAGAGGTTGCAGTGAGCTGAGATCGTGCCACTGCACCCCACGGCACTCTGGCCTAGGCAACAGAGCAAGACTCTGACACACACACACACACACACACACGAAGAAAAAGGTTGTCTGCAGGGATTTACTCTGTAGGTATATCTGTATGCATTCCCATGTGCCCTTGTGAATCTGTGGAGTGTGTGTGTGTTTAGTTCTGTGGTATTTGGGGTGCCTGGTCTGTGTGTACTAGGCTAGCAGTGGAGGAGGGAGATCCCACTCCTCTGGGGCCTCTCTCATGCAGTGTGGGGGTCTTGTGTCCCAGAGGGAGAACCCAGGATTAGTGGAGTCTGAGACAGCAGAACCAACCGAGGAGACCTTCAATCCCATGTCACAGCTGGCCCGCCGGGTGAGTCTTCTCCCTTCTTCCACCCCAACCCTGGGCAGCCTGGCAGAGGCTTCTGTGGAGTCCTGGGAGGTTATGCTGGGCCCCTTCCCTGACTCCCAACCCCTTTCCCAGGTTCAGGGGGTCGGGGTGAAAGGCTGGCTGACAATGTCATCTCTGTTTAACAAAGAAGATGAAGATAAGCTGCTACCATCAGAGCCTTGCGCTGACCAGTATGTGTGTGTGTGTTTGTGGTGGTTCTGGAAGGGGCCTGAGGTCCCCCTTCTGCCTGGTCCTTTCCTTCTGGTTTGTTTGTCTTTCTAACCACTGAGGGCTGGGGAGGGGCAGTCCCAGGCTGTTTGTTTCTCTCAGCAGGAAACAGGCCAAATCAGCGTATCTGGGAGATTAGGGTAAATCTCTGGAGGAATTGACCAGCTGTTGGGATTGAGGTGCTAGAAGGTATTTTATGGGCTCTCTGGACCCATCCGCTTGGGAGGGGCCATCTCTCTAAAATCCAAGAATGGAGAATACCTTTAGGTGTTTGCAACAGGTGATCCAGCTCCAAGGTTCCCAAGTATTGTCTAAACCCTCACCCTCCAAGGAAGCATGTCACAAACATATTCCTGGACCCTCCTTCAGAGACTCCGAGTTCGCCTGTGTGGCGAAGAGTCTTGGAGATCTAGCCATGTTTTCAGCAAGCCCCACCAGGGCCCCGCAGCATGCTGCTTTGGGAATCACTGTCTTAGAAGGTCTTTGATGCTGAAGATTAGAGGGTGGGACCTGGGACCTCAGTCTCCCTCCTGGCTCCATCTCTGGCACATTTTCCATTTCTGCCTTTTCTCCATCCTGGTCACATCCCCCTCTCACCACTGAACCTATTCTTTTCTCCTAGGGTCCCCATGACCCAGCAGCCTCTCCCGCGCCCAGGTTTCCATTCTTTCCCCCCACCCTCACCTCCCGTTCCTTAAGAAACTTCCTGGACTCGAGGCTTCCACTTCAAGCTTCATCACCTCTCTGTGACTGCCCTTCCCCCCAACATCTTCCCACCTCTCTTGAGTCCCCTGCTCTCCCCTAAGGCTCTGACCTAGGCCTTCCTGTTGCTCCACCTTTCTCCCGTGCCCCCAGTCCCCCTTTCCCTTAATGTCAGGACCTGCTCCCTCTCCGGGCTCTGTCTCTTTTCCCCAGGGCTTCCCTCAGGTGGGATCTGAACAGCCCCTCCCACTCCCACCTGCTCTCCCAGGGATCCTTCCAGCTTCCCAGACCTGCACATGCCTCCAGCGTCCCTCCTCAGCCACGCCTAAACCCCTGACCTCATTCTCTCCCCAGGGATCCTGATCCCCGTTGCCTCCCTCTACACCCCTCGCCTAATCCCCTGACCCTGTCCCACCCCAGTCCCCTTTCCCAGGGCCTCTGAGCCCTCCCCTTGCCTCCAGGCCCTGACCCGCCTCCATGTCCCGGTCCCCCACTGGTCACCTGACCCCGCTCCTCACCACTGCCCCTGACTCCGCCCGGGTTCCCCCGGCCCCACTAAACTTGTCCCTCGGCCCAGCCTCCTCTCCGATGTTCCTCCCCGGGACCGCTCGACCGCTTCCCTGACCGCGGCCCTCTCCCGCAGCCCTCTGGCGGCGCGACCCCCCTCGCAGGCGGCGGCGGCGGAGGCGCGCGGTCCGGGCTTCTGGGACGCGTTTGCCAGCAGGTGGCAGCAGCAGCAGGCGGCGGCGGCGTCCATGCTGCGTGGCGCCGAGCCCACTCTGGAGCCGGACCCCGAACCCGCGGACGAGGCCGCCGAGCGCCCCGAGTCGCAGGAGGCCGAGCCGGTGGCCGGCTTCAAGTGGGGCTTCCTCACTCACAAACTGGCCGAGATGAGGGTGAAGGCCGCGCCCAAGGGCGACTAGCGGGCTGGCCGAACCCGGCGCCCGCTGCTCCCACCCCTGATAAAAACCCTGGTCCGACAGTCTGTGTGACCGCGTGCTTTTGTCCAGACATCCAGAAAGACTGCTTTTGCGGGGGGCGACCTCCGGCGGGGTCCAACTGGAGCTCACCAAACATACAAGGCGAAAATGACCAGAGTCAGCCCGTATATCAGGATGGGTTTTTTAAGGTACAACTTTCCAGGAAGTTGGGGAGCTCCAGAGGACTGCGTCCATCGCCCTCTCCAGCCTCATTTAATTCAACAAACTGCCTGTGGCTCTACTATGCACGCCGTCCCAGTACTAGGAAAAGCTCAAAGATTAACTAGAGAACCCAGACTACCAGCGGGTCCCACAAAAGGTGACAAATTGAGGCCCAAAAACAGGGCTGCACTTGGGAGCTCAGAGCAGGTGAGGCTGACTGGGGCATTCAGGAAGGCTTCCTGGAGGAGAATATATGTTATCTCCGAGAAGGAAGAGTAGAGAGAAAAGGAATGGCAACCCAGTCTGAGGAAGGAGGCGCATGAAGGAAGAAAGCTGGGAGGTGGGAACCTGTGATGAAAATAGGCGATCTTGTGTGTCCTTGCAGAAAAGGGAGGCAGTGGCAGGAGCCTGCGAGCTGGCAGAAAAGGTTCCCTTCTTTTCTTTTTTTATTTTTACTTATTTTTATTTTTTGAGACGGAGTCTCCCCCTGTCGCCCAGGCTGGAGTGCAATGGCTCCATCTCGGCTCACTGCAACCTCTGCCTCCGGGTTCAAGCGATTCTCCTGCCTCAGCCTCCGGAGTAGCTGGGATTACAGGCACACACTCCACGCTCAGCTAATTTTTGTATTTTTAGTAGAGACGGGGGTTTCACCATGTTGGCCGGGCTGGTCTCCAACTCCTGACCTCGTGAACCGCCCTCCTCGGCCTTCCAAAGTGCTGGGATTACAGGCGTGAGCCACCGCGCCCCGCCCGGTTCCCTTCTTCTCGTGTCCGAAAGGTTGGATCCTCCACATCTCAGCCCTTTATACCCAGTGACCACAACCGGGGCAGCAAAACTCCGGGAATGGGGGCCTTTTAGGAACTGGTGAAGCCCAGATTTCTGGAGCAGACGCCCCCTCGGACTCCCAAAGCGCGTTATTCCCAGCTCTAGTTTGGATCGACCTGGAGGCCAGTGGAGATCACAACCGTGTTAGTACTCATTCGGTAGAAGTCACAGCAGTTACCGTTTATTGAGCACTTTCTATATGCTGGATACTTTGCCATGCGCATTACAACTATTTTGAAATACTTGTATCCCCTACTCCTCCCTCCTTAATAACCGAGGGGTGCCGCTGCATCCAGGGAGGTCAAGTGCTTGCCCAGGGTCACACAGTCAGCCGGGAGCACACACTTCAAAACCCACGCGCTTAACCACGAAAACCCGTTTGCCTCCTTCCTCAGCTCCCCATTTAAATAACGTTTTAACTTTATTCAGCAGGTTTGCTCATCTCCCACCCCAATCGTGACTCCCCAGACCTGGCCTCCACAAGGACCACGAGGCCTCTCCCTCCGCCTTCGCCGCGGGCGCAGGGAAGGGCCTTCGGCAACAACTTGTCCCACTTCCCCAAGGTTCAGACGCGAAACTGAGTTCCAGAGGGAAGGGCTTACGCAAAGGCACCCAGCGCGCCAGAAGCAGGGTATTCCTGTCCGTACCCGGGGCCAGCCCCGCGCTTGGCACTCCTTGGGAAGCCGGCTCCGGAGCCGCGGCGGTCACACCTCGGACTCGCGCGGCGGTCCGCGGGCGCGCTGGCAGCCGTACAGCCACTGGATGACGCGCGCATTGCGCTCCACCACCGACACCGGAGGGCGCCCGTCCCGCCCCGAGGCGGCTGCCTCCGAGCCGCCGCCGCCGCCCGCGCCGTCCGGGCTGTCCACGCCCCTGTCGCTGGATGTCCAGTCGCTGGCGTCCCCGGAGCCGGGCGGCGGCGAAGTTCCGGCCTGCGGGCTAGCGTCGGCCCCCCAGCTCTGCGGGGAGAAGCGCTCTGCACCCAGCACCTCCACCAGCGCGCGCTCTAGGCCGCAGTAGTTGAAGAAGCGCTCCTTCTCCGACAGGGGCAGTGAGCACGTGGGACACAGCGCCCGCTTTCCCGCCGCTTCCGGGGCATCTTGGGGCGCGGCCCAACCTCCTGAAGACGCAGGTCGCTCTGTGGAGGCCGGGCTGCTCGGGGCAGCGTCCCGCGGAGCACCCAGAAAGAGGCGCCGCACCAGCCCCTGGCCCTTGGCGTTCTCTTTGTTCACCGAAGCCTTGCAGTCCCGCTTCTGGCGGTAGAAGATGAGCGAGTCAGGCCTCGGCAGCCGCCTGCCACTTCCCCGGCGGGCCGGCCTGGGCGTCCTGGGCGATGCAGGGGGCCCCAGCTCGTTGCAGGGGTGCGGCGTGAGCGGCCCAGGACTCCCACGCAGGGCTGGCTCCTGTCGCCTAGCTATCACCTGGTGCGTCTTGACATACTTGGCTTTGTCGGCTTCCAACCTCTCCACAGCGCTGGGGGTCCGTCCTCTGGACGGGGTGGAGGGAGGGGCCAGGAGCATCTTAGCAGAGCTGTTCAGGACAGTGCCCCATAAGTAGCCAGCCAGGGGGCCAAGAGCAATTGACTTGGGCTCTCACAGACCTGCAGGGAGAGAGGAAGGTCAGGGGAAGGGTAGGAAATGCCCTGGTCCTCCCCTGCCGGCATTCCTCAGTATGGGATCAGTCAGCCACCCTCTCCCATCCAGGTTAGCCGGTGCCACGTTCAGGGAGCAGAGGCTCAGGCCATCCCCTTTCCCTGTCCTTCAGAGACACTGAGCGGGGTCTCTCTGGCCACTCAGAAACATATGCCCCTTTGAAGGTGCCCCAATCTGGCCACAGGGCCATGCGAGCAGGCCTCAGCAAGCAGGACACTTGGAAAAGGAAACCCGGCCCAATTCCCGAAAGTGGCTTCAACCGGAAAAAATACCTCTTCCCAACCCAGCAGCTTTGAGCCCAAGACAAGGAGGCTCCCAGCCACAGGCTGGCTCCAGCAGGGCCCACCCTTCCCGCCCCCAAACACCGAGGTCAGGGATATAACCACAGGGTAGGAATCTCCAGTAATTGCAGCCAACTGCCCTGCCCAGGCCCAGCAAGGCCATCAGGGCAGGAGAGGGAGGTGGTCCCCAGGCCCTATCAGCTACTGCCAGCTACTCTGCCCCTGCCAAGGCGATCGCAGAATGCCAAACTGTAAACATCACCTTGTTTAACCTTTGCATTTCCATTTCATGAGGAGGAAATTGGCCTGGAGAGGAGGGGGGATTGCTCAGGTCCTATTGAGAGTTAGGAGTCAGGACTGGAACCCAGGTTTCTTGCCTTGCAGTTCAGATTGGATCTCTCATTTGCCTATTACAACTTCCTACTGAGGCGGGGCACGATGGCTCACGCCTGTAATCCCAGCACTTTGGGAGGCCGAGTTGGGTGGATCACCTTAGGTGAGGAGTTCCAGACCAGCCTAGCCAACATGGTGAAACCCCGTCTCTACTGAAAATACAAAAATTAGCCAGGCGTGGCGGCGCGCACCTGTAATCCCAGCTACTTGGGAAGCTGAGGCAGGAAAATCACTTGAACCTGGGATGGAGGTTGCAGTGAGCCAAGATCGCACGCCACTGCACTCCAGCCTGGGCGACAGAGCGAGACTCTATCTCAAAAAAAAAAAAAGAAAAGAAAAAGAAAAAAAAACTCACTGATATTTTGCATGTATTCCTGCTGCTATAAAACCAAGCAATTTCCGTTAGAAATGGGCCCCCTGCCTCACCAAAAAGTTCCTTCCACTAATTCTTCCTAATAACCTGCACTCCCACTCCCAGAAATTTGCCCTCAGGGTCCTTGTCCCCTTTTTATCCTAAGACCTCATGACCCTTTTCCACCTCCTTTCGGCTGGGGCAAGGGGCGAGGAGGGGTTGTAAATCAAGAGCTGACAGTTCTCTTGGCAGTAACAGAATGGGCCACCCACATGGCCCTGCACACCCGACCCCACCCCTATCTCCCCCTACTCCCCCTGAGTCCTGAAGGCTGAGGGACCTTGGATCTGGGGACAACAAAGGAACAGAATTTTTTTTTTTTTTTTTTTTGAGACGGAGTCATGCTCTGTCGCCCAGGCTGGAGTGCAGTGGCCGGATCTCACCTCACTGCAAGCTCCGCCTCCCGGGTACACGCCATTCTCCTGCCTCAGCCTCCCAAGTAGCTGGGACTACAGGCGCCCGCCACTTCGCCCGGCTAGTTTTTTGTATTTTTTTAGTAGAGACGGGGTTTCACCGTGTTAGCCAGGATGGTCTCGATCTCCTGACCTCATGATCCGCCCGTCTCGGCCTCCCAAAGTGCTGGGATTACAGGCTTGAGCCACCGCGCCCGGCCAAAGGAACAGAATTAACTAGGGAAGTGGGGAAGGGGTCTGTGAGAGGCCTTGGGACAGGGACCCTGCCAGGCCCAGCCCACCCCTTCACCCAGCACCTAGTGTGTAGTCAGTCTGCCCATGGGTAGTTGAGGCCTGGGAACCAAGGGGAGTCTGGCAGTGTCTCCCTCCCTGTCTCCCAGGGAGTCTCCTGGGCAGTGGGTTGGATTCCAAAGTCCCAGGAAGGCACTGCTTGTCTGACCCCATGGGTGCCCTCTGTCCTCTCCTCTTCTCCCCATCCCTGAGCAGGGAGACTATAAAAAGTCCCTAATCACAAGGACCAAAATAGTCTGTCATCCACAGCCTCTTCCCTGCCTTCCGGGCTAGCCTGGAGGCTGGACCTCAGACATCCCGCCCTAGAAGCCTGGCAGGCAGTCTCGGGCCCTCCATTCCTTTGCCTGCCTTCTCCCTGTCCTGAAGCTTGTGCTCCCAACTCTGCCCAAGGCTTCTGCTCTGGGAATGGGCCATCTTTCAGGCTCACTAGTTTGGTACCAGTCTCCCTGCCCTCAGGCCCCTGGGTTCCTTCCTACCAGAGCCCTGGGCTCAGGGTACACTCACCTCTGCATGG